GGCAAAGGCAGCTCCAGCTCCTATGTACTGCACCACAGTAACTTCAGTTCTGGTTTCCAGAATGCAGCCCACAAATGCAGGTAGCATGTAATAAGGTATAAGAGAGAGATAGCCTTTCAGCTACCTTTTTTTTTTCTTCCTAATCCTTTCTACTTCAGCTCCTCAGAAGAGCTGATGAGAAAGGAAGGCAGAGTAAAATTAGAAATGATATAAAAGCGAGCTGAAAGGCGCTCCATGCAAACGGCTCCAGCTGCGAGTCATCCTGCACTGTGGTTTATTTAATACTGAAGGTGATTGCTGTTAAACAACTAACACACACACACACAGAAGGGAAAGGTCAGAATGACTGCTGCGAGGACATGAAGCACTTCCAGGGGACACCTCTCCTTGGGAGGAGCAGCTCAGGGAATGCCACAGCCGCTGACTGGGGAGAGGGGCAGCACTGCTGCCCACTGCTTCTGTGCTGTGCTGAGTTCTGAGATTCCAGATCAGTGTGAACAACTGGTTGGTTGTGTTTCTTTGGGAATGGACCATTTTACCTCATTTCCTAGATGGTTTCATTCCAACCCAGTCTAAGGGGCCGTGGCTTTGCTCCTTGTGCTGCCTTCTCCTTACCAGGGCAAGGACAGCCTGCATCCTTCTGGGATTCTGCTCTCCCACAGTGACCTGCAGCCCCCCAAGCACCCAGCATGGGAACAAGCAGCTGTGCCCAGCCCATCACATGGAGCTGCAGCATGCGGCTGCAGGAAGGGAAGAAGTCACCCCACGTGGACAGGAAACAAGGGCTGTGCAACTCACACAGTGCAGAGAGAGACCTGTGCTGAAGTTCAGATGGAGTAGCAGCTCTGTGCCTGCACTCAGAATCCCATTTGCCATCCTCCCCTCACAGCATCACTCCACGCAGTAATGAGTACTGAACCAGCTGAATTACAGCCATAAATGTGGTTCTCCAACCCCACAAATCACAGGTTACAGATATCCCAACTGGACACCACAGCTCTTGCTGATGAGACTGCTTAACCTTTGGAACCCCCCTCACATCAGCAGGCCCCCCCCCCCCCCCCCCCCCCAAGGCCAAGGAATGGACAGATCTGTGTTGGCACACACGGCACAAGGAGAAAAGCACTCTCTTCCAACACTACTTTGTACATCTGTTCCTGTTGCTAGAAGAAATTCTTTTGCTGTTTACCCCTTTTTTCCAAAGCAGCTTCTGGCTTTGCAGAAGTAGGAGTTGGCTTTTTTTTTTTTTCCCCTATTTTAAGTAAATTGCTGTGAAACATCAACAAGCCCAATTCTTCCTCCCCCGCAAAGGTAGGCAGCTATTGGGCTTATGGCAGCAATGCGAAGATTTCAGAGTACAAAGGAACAAACAGGAAGGACGCAATCAAGTTTGCTATTCTGGGGAAAAGCAAAGCGAACTGGAAGCTTTCAGAGCCCAATTCAGAACTCCTTCATTACAAAGCATCTCCAAAACAACCAACATGTGCAGAAATTCTATTTACAAGCAAAAAGACCACAAAAACCAAAGGCCTTTCAGAATCATTCTGAATGTGAACTCAATCCCAAGGACATTCTGATGCTTAGCTACACACCAGCACACTTGACCTTTTGAGCATGACTCGCAGCAAATTGGTTATGACTCAACTGATGCTTGCTTTTTCCAAAAACACGTGTTTTCCAATGGCAAGAAGTGCTGTCTGGGACCCTGGGGCAGCAGGGCAGCCCACGCAGAGGATGTTCTCCATTGGCTCTGCGTGACTCTCATCCACTTGCACAGCAAAAGCACAAGTCCCAAACAAGCGCTGCAGCTGAATAGGACAGAGCAATCCATGGTCACCCACCTCTCCTCCCACTCTGTTCCACAAATGCAACTATCAGATCTTACATGAGCATAAAAACGCTTTCAGCTTTAAACTAAGAGCAGAATGTTCTCACGCCTTGGGTCAGCGTGGCTCCGTGCCCAACCAGCACCGCATCCCACAGCTGCAGTGCTCAGTGCCAGGGGGCATCTCAAGGCTGGAAGCCCCGAGCTGCTCTGCAGACAGGCAGAGGTTCAGCTGTAGGCTCAAGATTTGGATAGAGCTTTTACCAAAAACAATAATAATCCTTAGCAAAACCTACAAGAGAATGCAGTTATTTACTCCAGGGAAATACATTCAGAATGAAACCTTTTGCATTCAAAAAAAAAATAATCTTTTGCTCCATTTAGACGTAAGGAAGAACTTTTTCTCTCAGAGAGTGGTCAGGCACTGCAACGGCTGCCCAGGGAGGTGGTGGAGTCGCCGTCCCTGGCAGAGTTCAAGAGGCATCTGGATGAGGAGCTGCGTGATGTGGTTTAGTGCTGGTGGTGGCAATGCTGATGAGGAGACGGTTGGACTGGATGATCTTATAGGTCATTTCCAACCTTGTGATTCTATGATTCTATGATTCAAGAAGCCTAAGTAAGTCTCTGCTCAATTAACACTCACTCAGAGGGTTCATTTACTGGGAAACCTTAGATGCCTCCATAGTTCAGATGCAGCACTAGGAAGGCCAGGCAGCACTGAAGCAGCCTGAGCTGGCCTTGAAGCCTCACTGAGCACCGTGCTGAGCTGGGGCAGCCAGTGCAGGAAGCAGCAGTGAGCCCTGGTTCCACCCATGGCACTGTAACCAGAGATGCAGAGCTACAGAGGGAGGAGCGCCGCATCCACCCGTGTACAAACACAGGGATTGCTTTACAGATGGGTTACATCTGTCCCACAATAAGGGCATTCATCTAATGAAAATAAATTAAGAAAGACGTGCTGGGACTGACAACGCTGCCATACATCACCGCTCACCCTGACCACACGGCATTGCTGCAGGCAAAGGAGCTGCTCAGATGAGAACCACCCCGCAGACACACCTCATCGCACCACCATAAAAATGGTTTATTAGCAAAACACTTCCAAGCATCATCCGGAACTTTACAACACCTGCTCTGCATGCACTCGGTGTTTGCAGTGGATTTATGGCTGCTTTGTAGCTGCTTTAGAACGTCGGTGCTATTAATCCCAGCTCCGCCATTCACAAACACAGCACTGCCAGCATCATCCTTTCACGAGTGCTTTTCTAACGAGCAACCAGCGACAGCATGGCCAAAAAATTCTGCAAACACACAGCCATCCAGTTAGCAATTAGCTCCAACAATAGTTTTGCTGATGATACTTTTTACACCGAACACATCCAGCAGCACTGCAGAGCACACTGCACAGACAGGACAGCACCGCTCACTGTGAGCGAGTGGCTCTGCTAAGCTTCTCGATAAAAGGTATTCTCAAAGTCAACATCTTCAGCTAAATTAGAAGCATTTAATATTCTGTGCATATGTACACACGCATAGGAGCACCATGAGCATTTACCATCACTGCAGAGTGATGTGAGCAAGGTGCCATTAGCAAAGCTGCTGGAGAGTGCTGACTCCATCCATTGTCAGTGCATGGGGAGGTGAAAGGCTGCACCCTCCTGCTGGAGCGGCTGTGGGCTGCATGAAGGTGCTTGCAGAAGGCAGGGGAAACCCAATTAGGAAAGCAGCAACATCTTTGTCAAAAAACAGTAAGCAATTAAGCGTCTCCAACACATGGAAGACGTGTGTTAAAGCTGATTGTTGTCCATCAGTCAAGGTAACTGCAACTCACACAACACCTGGCCCATGTAATTAGCTGGAAGCCTCATAATGAAACAAAGTGCTAAGGTACCTCGTGCCAAGGATATGTCCTCCAGTGCCAGGCAGGCAGAATGCTGCTCCTGTCGGGTCTCATGTGTGCCTGGCCAGGGAGAAGACAGACAGATGCCCTCCCTTCTCCCCACCACCATGGACACCCAGGTGAAGGCATCCTTTCTTCTCCCCCGTGCTGCTCTTAGGAGCTCCTTTTGCTCCATTAGTGCTAAGCCTTGCCATCGAGATGTGCTTACAGACCTCCAAGACACCCACAAGGAGCACACAACACTTTCCAGCCTTCAGCATGCTGCAGGGGCAGCCAACCTGCACTGTTTGGCATTGCTCAGAAGCGCTCACCAAGGCAGGAGGAAGAAGACTGTGTCAGATTTGCAGTTGCAAAGTGCAAAGGAGCACTTTTGCAGGCAGCAAATGGTCATTGCTTTCTTGTCCGTGCTGACTTTGAGGCTGATGGTCTGTGGGCTCTAACAGCTGTGGGACAGTTTAAGGCTCTGTCTGGCTCTGTTTGAGCTACAGACACCTGCTGAGCTCCTTATGCCTTCGGGTTTGCAGCCCAACATCACCTACCCACCAGTACCATGCCCTAGCCTCCTAATGAGTGGTTTAACACACAGTTAGCAGCCATTCACCACCCTTACAGAGTAAGGAGGAGAAGGGAAAGCTGCAGCTTCCATTTCCAGCATGGGAATTATATAAGAGGCAATTACCAGCCCGCAGCCAAGTCTCATTCCACCAGGTAAGCAGAACTGGGCTCAGCAGCAGCAGGATGCTCACAGGATGCCCCAATTCAGGCCTGTCTTAAGGAGAACCTTCTGAAACAAGAACTTTTCCACGTGCTGCTTGTTAAGAATTAACTGAGGTCTTAATTAAGACAAGGCAGAAATAGTAAGCCATAAAATCCAGATCTCCTCGGTGATCTGAGGGCCACCTTCCTGGCTGCTCACACCACACAAGCTGTTCCATCCATGGCAATAGCTTCTCTTCTGCTCTTCCCCCTGCGGATTAATTATTAGTCCCCCCCAGCCCTGCTCCTCCATCACATTAACGGATTCAATGTCATTTAAAACATATTAAATACAGCACTACAGCAGCCTTGAATAACTGAATAATTCACAAAGGCAAAATAAGGCCAACACGAAGCTGGCAGATCTTACAAACGTCATTCTTTAACCCACCCTCCCAGTATTGTTTTCTTAAACCAATACCAAACTTGGGGGCAATTATAGCTGATGCAGTTGGAGCAGCAGCAAAATAACTGTCAGCATCTCCTTCAAAGCACAGCTCCATCCCAGCCATCACTTACAGGAGAGAAGCATCACCACACGAATCAGAACACCTCTGTCCTTCTCCAGGATTCAAACCAAGCTGCTGTTAAATATGCATAACACCCAGCTGCATTAACACATTAAAGCTTTGCAGATTGCCATCAATGGTGCTGCTGCTTAATTTCACCCATCCCTCACCATTCACATCTTCAACTACTTTCATCCTAAAAAAAAAAAAAAAAAAAGAATTCACTTTCAATATGAAAACCTCGCGATGCTCACATCAGCAGATCGCTGAGTGCATTTAGGAGGATATAGATTTAAAAGCTGGCAGCAAAACTTTATTCCCCTCCTAAACAGGAGCGTGCTCTTCCATTCTATTGCCTGGGTGTTAATAAAAAACATGCTCTGCAATCAGTGAAGCTGGAGAAAGGCTGGGAAGGTGATGAGTTTGACAAGTCAGATGATTCCAGGGCAGACTTACAGCACAGGCCGACACATGGGAGAACAAACATTGCAAGCAACCAATTGGAAACTCCACGAGGGACCCAGCAGCAAGCAGGCCTGGTGCCACGGCACAAAATGGATGCTTGGTGCAAACACACCATAACTTCCCAACGAGTTTGTCTGCTCCAGCGTGAGGATTTGCATTGCTAAACGCTCTTTTCTGCTCATTTAAGAGCAAGAGGAGGATTTGAAGCTGGAGCATCGCGCTGCATAATGCGAGCTGACAGCTCCCAGGCTGGGTGCACACACACCGTGCTCCATCCAACCAGCAAGGCTGCAACACACAACTCACCAGCACTGGTAGGCAGCAGTGTGGATTAATTACCGGGCAGAAGCCTCAAGTTTCCTTTAATCATCCCAAAGTGCTTTGAAATCACTTCTCAGCTGCAAAGGAGCTTTTATCTCTGGGCTGCGACACAAGGGGGAAAATCCCATGAAGGTTTCCCAGCCCCAATTTGCTTCTTTTGAATTAGGTCTCCTATGGTTGTGTGCAATGGGATGCAGCATTACTGGTGAAGAAACTGCCCAAATAAATGAACGCATTAGCCAAATAAACAAACAAATAGTCCAAATAAATGAGCAAATAATTGCTAAAAGGAGAAGAGGAGAAACTTCTTCTGGAAAGTTAGGGAAAGCCAAGCTTCAGCTCAACATCTGTGTTTTGTATGGCATCCCAAACACCCAGGTCGGCACAACAGGTTAAAACCCACCCTCCTGTGCTCAGAGCTGATGCTTGAAGCGTGGCTAATTGCACAACACACCAAAGCAGGTAATTAGCATATTTCTCCCATAATAGCAGCCAGGCTGGCAGCACACAGCCCTGCTCTCACGCACCACCTTCCCCTCCATCATTCACAGCCGTATTTACGCACTCCAGCACTCGGTCATCGATGGATCCCACACCAACAGCACCAGGACTGCCTACGGTTCCCCTTCCAGCACCAACCTGCACCCAGGGCTGCCCCGAAGGGTTCGGAGCCCTCCGCACCCCTGCATCCCACACGAGGTCCCAAACCCACTCACCATCCAGATGGAGAGGAGAGAAGCTGCACAGAGGTGCCCCAGTGCCCAGCAGCAGCTCGAGGCGGGCTGAGAGCCCACAGCCAGCACAGCTTGCGCCTCCTGCAGCTGCACGGTGGGGGTTATCCATTGGCAGCACACTGCCAGCACATCACTGCCCGGCCCTGTGCCAGCGGATGCATGCACCCGTAGGAGCACAGGCTGGCTCCTTGCTTACCTTAAGCAAAGGGGATTCTCCGAGTTCTAATGCAGCTCGGGTATTTTCAACTTCCAAAATTGAGGGGTTAGTGATTTAAAGTGATTTCCTTCTCCGATTTCCTACAGGGGAGATGTGGAAGAGGGGAGTAGGGGGGAAGGAAAAAAAAAAAGGAAGGGAAAGAAAAAAATTGACGCACTTAAGGATGTGCAGCAGCCGCTGGAGCTGAATTTCTCCTCTATCCGCAGAAATCCTCTTACTCAGCCCTGCCTGCTCAGAATCTCAAGGCTCAGCTCCTGACACGCGGAATCACTGAAGGATCAAGACAGAAATGGCACTTCCTCCAGGCAGCAGCACAGGACCCGGTCTGCTCTCCCCTACAATCCGCCCCAATTGCAGAGCAAATCCCAACATCTGCCTTACGCAGCGCCTTCATTATGCACTCCTGCACAGTTCCAAGCTAAATCCCGTGCTGGAGGACCTCGGGTTTAGCAGAACCATTATCTGGTTTCACTTGAGAAACAGCACAAGTGGAAGAACATAAACCGAAAAGCTAATAAAGCAAAAGCCGGAGCCTAACCTTGAAAGGCATCACAGCTGGCTGCATCCAAGCAGCAGCAGGGGCTCTGGAGTCATTAAGGGAGCTCGTAACGAACCAAACTCCACCACGGCGCTTTATTTACGGCACACACACCGGGCCCAAAAGATTTCTGAAGGTGTTTCCATCTCCCTTATTACTTTTTGCATATTTCCCAACCAGGCGCAGTGCCACTGAGGCTGGAAGGTTTTGGATGGCATTTCGTAACATGGCCAAAACTTTCTTTAAATAGCAATGGGTCGCCACGAACTCAGCATCCTAAATACAGGCAGATTAAGCAGGAATCAGGACACCATACAGCCTGGAAACACCGTGTAATTAACTCCTAAAGCAGCACTTCAGCGGTCTCTGCCCTTTCTCAACTTGGTGATGGCGTGTTGAATTACATCATTATCAGCTCCCTGCCAGCCCCCTCCGCCATCCCCAGCCCGAAACTGAACAAGAACTCTTCTGTTGGAGTCAGCCTCAAAGCACTCCTGTTTTATAAGGATTACCCTCCGCTAAGAGCAAACCCGGCTCCACAAGAGGAGGCTCACTCAGAAACCCCAAGTCTGCTCTTCCTGATCAGAAAAGCTATCTGATACACACCTGGATTCAAAAATAACCACCACCTCCACGCATTCTTTTCCCACACTAGATCAGGGAGATGGATTTCAGCATCCGCGCCGATGTGCGCCCATCATCCCTCGCTGGAGGCTCCAAGGACCGAACAAAGGCAGCTCTCACAATCACAGCCGTACTTCCAGCGATGCTGCGCCTGTCAGAAGCTTTCTGCAGCAGTGGGAGCACTCCTCCGGTCTCCCTCCAAGGCTTTGCACGCACTAAGCCCAAGCCTTGCCTCGTGAATGCTGATAACCACCGTTTCTTTTCTCTCCTTTAATGGATTAAACGCAGCCACGCAGATGCTTGTATTCGCGCATCACGCCCCATTAAATTGTCAGCTTGTCTTCCACGATCCTCTTAAAAAAAGAATAAAATATAAATACACGGCCTTGAAAACATCCTCGCAACAGAATACTCATTTTCTTGGCACTTACTTCGAAATGGAAGCAAACAAAAGCAAAACCCAACCAACAAAGCCCCGCATGCCTTCTCCTTACAGCCAGGTTCCAGAAGAGGAGACCTACTCTGCACAGAACATCTATTTTTAAATACTGTGCAGCGTTTCCCTGCTGCATCCAGCAGGAAGCTTTGCTCGCCTTCCCCAAGAGACACATTTTTATTATTCAATCCTTCGGAGCGTTGTCTTCAAAAGACATCTCCCAGGCTTTGTGCTCTCACCCTATGGGAGCAGCATCCAGGCTAGGAACAGGGGTTGGCTGCTTGCTGGGCCTCCAGGGGCTGCTCCTTCACCACCTTTCTCGTTCCCTGCCCACCTCTCAGCCCAGTATCCTTCTGCACCTGCAGATTCCTCCTCCTGAAGCCCTTGGGCACAGATTTGGGGTTGTCCCATAGATGCCCCTCAAGCACAACGGCCTCCAGCACTGCACAGGTTAAGCTCTGCCCAATCCATACCCATTTGGAAGATGCTGCCCATACATATAGGTACAACCCCATACATCAATGGAGTCAGACCAGATGGCCCTCAAAAGTCCCTTCCAACCCTCAGGATTCTATGATTCTGTATCTTTGCCCTTAAACGAAATCAAAGTATCCACGATGTGCCTAACTGAGACGACACAAAGGCAGTTTCGATTGGGGCATGCCTGCTATTTCCCTTTGTACACAGAAGCATTCCTGTATCTATGCATCAACAACTCCACTCTAAAACACGGCTAAAACCCCACAGCAGCCCCTCTGCACAGAAGGTGGGGCAGACCCCCATCCCTGCACTGTGCCAAGAATTGGGCTGAGCCCCCAGGGACCAGCAGGAAGCATCCCCAGCAGCCTGGAGCATGGCCCCAGCCCAGCCCAGCTCTCATCTGCCCCTGACTTGTGCGAAGAGCAGCTGCAGAGCATGGAAATGCACCCAGGAGAGCGCCTAAAGGAGCAGCCAAGCAGGTGCAGCACCCGGCTCCCTTGGCAGGAAGGCAAGGCGAGCCTGGCAGCACTCACACACAGCAAGAGGAGGGCACAGCTCCAGCACAGAGAAATCCCTGGGGTGCATCCGGCACAGGGACGCAACTCTGGGCACAGCCAGCTCCATCAGGACAGCAGCAAATGGGGACAGGGAGCAGAACGGGCACAAGTGACAGCTGTCTGCATGCTGCCCCGCCAAGCACCAAAGGGAAGGATGAAGTTGAATGCAGCAGCCATGCACCACACACCTACCAACGCCTGACTTTGTCATTAGTAGCTGGTAAGAGCACGCACACAGGGACCTGGGAAACAGACACAGTTTGCTCCCAAACCTGCTTTCAACATCAAAATAAAGTTTTTGATTCCTTGTGGTAGAAGGACAGGAATTTACCCTGCTCCTATGAACACAGCAGTAAAAGTCCCTATTTTCCTTCCGTGTCCTACAGAGCAGAGCTCTGAGCTGCCTGCAGAGACCGAGATCACCAAGAGAAAAAAAAAGATCCCACTCCATTTCCAGCTGTCGTGCATTCGTGACACTGCACCACGCCTGCAGACACGGCGTGCAATTACTTCTCCCAGCTGCATTTCCTCATTTCCCATCTGAACCAGATCTGATGCTCAGTCCCAAGTTCAGGGATGCTGCCCAGGCTGGGGATTGCTTGGGGTGCCTGGGCTGCTCTCAGTGTGCAGAACCTCACGCTGATGTTTGCCATTTATTGAGAGCGCTTCCCAATTGAAACAAGGTCGTTAAGCAACAGCATCCAATTAACCGCTCGGTGTAAGGATGGCATTAATATTCAAACACTGAAAGCAGGCGTGGAACTCCGTGTTGCCTGAACCCACATGCAACAAAGCCACACTAATGCCATGCAAATCAATACGCATTTCAGCAGCCGGTTTCCATTCTGATTTCTGCCCATTTTAAGTGCCAGCGGTTCAGCTTTCCCCAGCTTGCTTCCTGCTGACAGAGGATTTGGGGGTTCTATAGCAGGCAGCAGCCTGGCTCACAGCCACCCGCTTGCACCCACGCCGAGCAGCTGCAGATCCCCTCCATGCACATCCACCTCTGGCTGCTGGCATTGCCAGTGTTCAGCCCCACATTGTCTGCTCCTCCCGGCTGCGATGCGATGCAAAAGCTGCTATTTAGAGCAAGCAAAAAAAAAAAAAAAAAAAAAGTGCCTGTTTCAGGGCAATCTTGTTCTACATGGCAGCTCTCAATAGGGTCACAAGAAATGCGCTCAGATGGAGTGATCCTGGAGGCAGGTTCCCTGTGAGCAGAAGCACAGACAGACCTGCCCACGTGTGGGCACAGAAGCCCAGCAGAAGTGACTTCAGCTTCACACAGGAGAACCCCCATTCACAGCAGTGTCAGCTTTTGGCCCCGCAGCAATGCTGGCTGCATTGCATCCCGCTCTTGTGCTCCCAGGGCTGCACATAGAGCCTTGCATCCACCCAGGCAGGAAGCTGTGCGTGCAAAACAGCAGAAGCAGCCTTTTAAAAGCACATCCCAAGAGAAACGATCACAAACAGCAGACTACCCAGATACCAAGGGGTGACAAGCAGCAAGGAATGCAGACTTTGCACCTAACGCCATCCAGGACTGCTGCTATCAGCAGCCAGAACTTCATCGCGGCGAAGAGAAGGGAGCTCCAGCAGAGGGCACTCAGATGCAGGGAGAGAACCTCAAAGCCAGAAGGGCAGCAGCGTCCTGGAGAGAGCAGGGTTCAACACCCAGCCTTCAAACGGCTGTAACACTGTGCTCACCATGCGGCACGCTGCCTGTTAGATGCAGCAGCTTGACTGAGCAGAGCCATGTCCTCACAACAGAGGCCTTGGTTGCGTGCCCTGCTGTATGACAGGACACCTCAGCAGCCATTCAGCTGACTTGCCCTGCAGTTCTTGACACCCACAAACCCCACACAACTTGGGAAAAGCCAACACAGCCTGCAGACATCAGAAAATACTTACATGATCAGTGAGCAAAACTGCAGATTACCAGCACACAAAGGTCTGCCTTCAGGCTCTCTTCCAGCCCCAGTAATTCCCAATCTGGGTGCACCCTACAGCCCCACACCTTTAAAGCAAAAACCAGAGAATAAGAAACCCCATGCAGACTCCAAGGAACTTCTCCCCTTTGGGAAATGCTTATGGAGTGCCCTATTGGCAGATATGTCAGCTGCTAAAAGAGGGAAGGAAGCAATGGCAGAAGTCAAGCCAAGCACCATCTCAGATATGTTTTATCCAGCAACATTTTGTGAAGAAAGCTTAACTCTGCTTCTTTCTTCATCAGCAATATGAACACACTCAGAGCTTGAATTCATTGCCAAAGTAGTCATGGCACTTGTTAACAATTCCTTGGGTATTAAAACACAGTGTGTCACCAGCCATATCTCAGCCAGCCAGCCTCCTCCATTCGCTCCCATGGAAATTTAACGGCAGGGCTGGAACCAGTAGGACCAGTTTTGTTTGCAGCTGGTTGGTGGAAATGAAAATAAAAAGTTTCAATGGCCAAAGGTCCTTATGGAGCAAGAAACATCTCACCACCTGCATCACAGGTGCTCATCTTGAACAGCAGCCACAGCAAGAGCTGAGCTCAGACCTGGCTCCAGCCACGTGCACCCAGCTGGGGATGTACACAGCGTGAGAAGTGTGTGTCATACAGCCCAGCACAGGGAAACTGAAGTAAAAAAGGGGGAAGGTTGGTAGAACGCTGTCTTTCGTTTCTGCAAATAGCTGAGAACATGGAAGTATGTCACAATTATGCACTGCCATGCAACCTTCATCACAGCACCTCTTCCACCACAACACTGTGCTGCGTTTTACTCCAAGCGCTGCATTGTTCTCCATAACTCTTCCTTTTTTCTTTTTTTGTGATAAAATATTAAAAATGTTTCCTCTAAAAGCCTAATTCTCAGCAGGCTTAATGTGAACATTCTCCGAGAGGGCTGCTGGTGCTTAAAAACACGCATTAAGCAGCTGAAGCATTTGATGTTTGGAAACAAAGTTCCCCATCTGCGAGGGTTTTGGAAGCGTTACACGCAGGCAAGATTTTCTGTTCTAAATCTATTTAACATTAAAAGAAAAAAAATATATATCTCCAAACACGCAAAGCTTAACGCCGACAAACAATCCTTCCTGCTTCCTCCCGGATCTCCCCTGCAAAGGGGTTTGTGCACTGCCAGGAGTTTCTGTTCCCAACAGCCACACATCGCTGGAACGCTCAGCTCCACCTCGCCTCGACACAATGGCAGCGTTTATCAATTAATCATCGTGCTCAGAAATAACTGCCCTACTTTCTTCAGCCGCCGAGGACTTGCTGCGTGTGGCAACCAGGACAGGAGCGAGCGACGACCAACGGATGGGAGAGAAATCCTGAGCATCCCAATTTGGAGGGGAGCCGCTGGGATCATGGAACCCAAACCCTGGACCCACAGAGCAGCTCCCAAACGGTGTGCATTGCTCCCCGAGCTCTGGGCTGTGCCCACAGCCCTGTGGGGCTGAGCCTGCCCCCGATCCCACCTGCCCTGACATCTCCATGCTGTGCCTTCAGGTCCGGATCCGCATCTGCCCCTCTGCTCCCCTGTGAGGAACCGCGGGGCCGCCATCCCCAAAGGTGTTTAAAAACCATCTGGACGCGGTGCTCAGAGACCTGATTTAGCAGTGGGTTGTTAGAGTTACAGTAGTAAGGTTGGACTTGATGATCTTGAAGGTCTTTTCCAACCTGAGCAATTCTATGACTTTATGATGGAGCTGCAGGGCTGCCCTACCAGACACAGAGACCTTCACTGATCCACACACACTGCGCCCTCCATGCCCACCCCCAGCCCTGCATCTCCTCCTTTGGATGCTCTCCCACAGCTTTATGCCCTTTTTTCACTGCGATGCCCAAGGCGAGGCCACCTCAGTGCCACTGCTCACCATGCAGTGTGTGCAGGACAATGCTGGCACTCCTTCAAACCAGACCAGCTCCAAGAGATGAACACAGCCCTGGGGATGGAACCACGGGGCTGGGGCCAAGCTGCACCCACACAGCAGCTTGAGAAGAGCTCCAGGGCTGCCCCAGGGGCACGACGAGCCGCGTGTGCAGCATGCGGTGCAGATCACTGCTCTCAAAGCTGGTAGGGTTTGGGGATTAAACTCGGTGCTACCATATGGCAGATCACAACAGAGTGCTTCCTGCCGCCCACCCAACATGAGTAGGTTCATTGGCAGTTCGGCTTCCTCTGAAATTTGGGTGGTTCTTTTTTTTTCTCCTGGAAGAATGCCGACTGCAGGAAAAACAGAGCCAGGGACCACCAAGAGGTGGAGGAGTTGAGCTGCCAGCATGACAGCCAAACACCTCCGTTCTGGGCTCAACGAATCATCAACATTGTGTCCCAACTCACCTTCTGTATGGCGGCTGCAGAAAGAATTCAAGGACAAAAGACAACAAAACCCACACTCCAAACCAGCCATGGAAATAGAACAGAACAGAGGTGCACAACCCAATTTAAAAATGGACCTTAAAAATACCGTGACCACACAAGTGACGCCATCCTCCCTGTTCTTCCACAGATGTCTCATCCTTCATCGTCATCACCTGCAGAACAACCACAGCACTGCTCATTATGCCCTCATTACCAAGAAGCACAAAACCTCACAAGATGATGGAGAGGCATTTTTGGCACTTTTTGTGGCTGTGCTTCCATGGTTGGGATCGCTGCTAAGAGCCCCTGGCACCAAAGGAGCCTCTCAGTGACTGCAGGGACAGACGGCTCTGCTCCCATGCAGAACCACGCATGGATTTTCCCTTGCAGCCCACCCAGATGGGCCCCAGAACACTCAGCTCCGCTGCACCGAGCAATTCTATGATTCTATGTGACCTATTTGGGTTCCTCAGCTCCACAGAGAAGCAGGCTATCGGAAAAACCATACTGAGAACTGCTGCTCCCTCACTGCTGCAGGAGATGCTCTGATCTCGTTTGTTGACATTTATCATTAGGAGGAGAGACACCGAAAGCCCCGTGAGGAGAGCAAAGCTTCTTAGGGGCTTTAAGAAAGCCTGCATTAAGCAGCAGGGACAGCAAGAGCTGATGAGTCCTTCGGCTCGAGACGCACAGCGCAGTTAACACTTCACAAGCAAAAAGTTATTCAGAAAAGCAGAGGGTGAGATAACCCACCAAGCAGCACACAGCTCTGTGGCCTGGCGCCTTCCAGCAGGGCAGCACAAGCTACAGCTTCAGGACATTTTAATTGCAACATCTCAAAAATCACAAGTTGATGTTCGTAACGACACACACTCGAGAAAATCACTGCCTACCAAAAAGCAGAAACGGAAATCAAACTGTCGACGACAATAAATAGATTCAACCCTAACCCTCCATCCAAACCACTGCAGTCCCGTTTTGAGGTAAGTCTGTCAGCTTGAGAAGTGCTTCCATAGGGATGTGTGGCATCTCTGAAGTTGCACGGATCTCAGCAATTAAGCACATCCAGGTCAGCTCGTTATGCTCCACTCGTTAACAACAACTGGCTGCAAATGCAGACGGTGTTTTTAGGGACACAGCCCAGTAAGCCATTTAGCAACTAATCCTTACATCCCTTTGAATTCTGCTCAAAACAATCCATTAGAAAACACGAAGCCAACAGCCAGCCATCACTTCTGGTTCAGTTTGCACACATGACATCAAACTGCACGGGGCAAAGCAACAGCGCCTGGTGAGAAACAGGAAGGTGGAAAACATAACACCAAACACAGCACGAAGGTTACTTGAAACAGCTCCATTCTAATTAATATGTAATTAAAAGAGGTAAATCCCAAGAGAACTCAACAACACAGGTGGGGTTGGAAGCCCAACCCGAACGCTGCAGGTCCACTGATCAGCACAGTAGCAGCTGTAGGGCACAATGGGTACAGAGGATTTACCCAGGCATTAATGAATGTTTTAACCCATTAACGTGCTCTTAAGAAGGCAAGGGATGAAGGTTTGCCCTTAAACCGACTGAGAGGAACCAACTTCATTTCCTTGCATTGTTTCATAGGAATGAACTAACACACCTTCTGGTATTGTTAAGGTTTCTGTACAAAGCCCAACATTCATTAAATAAGTGGCAAAACATCCTGTTTATATTTAGACTTCCTTTCTTTTCCTATCAAAATCCTTCAGGTTCTCCCATGAAATTTTGGGAGTGGAGGCACAGCAGTGTCACGGTGCTGCTGCCATCCCTACCAACGCATGGATGGAAATCAGCTGCTGATAAATCCTCTCCTTTGTTCCGGGACTTTCTGGAATTTCCTGCCATACCTTAATGCAATTAAAAAGACAAAAATAAACACACAGCAGCCGCATTTCCTGCACAGGAACAGCACAGGGACTCTCTCTCAACAAACACATTCACCTTTTCATACTTATCACTGAAGCACACAGCGAAATCCCCAGCACTGCAAGGGACAAAACCAGCCTCTAATCCTCTGTAACAGACTTCATTTCCCACGGCAAGAAGCAGAGTAGAAAACACAGCTCAAATGAAGCCACTTTAGAAGCTCTGCCCTCCCCACCAGGCACCACTCGCGAGAAGATTCCAGGCTACAGTCGTTGCATCCCCACTTCAGACCCCTCCACCTCTCCCCATTACCTTCCATGGGTCCATGCATTTGCTGGGAGCTCAGCAGGCACAGGTGACACCATATCAGGGGCACCAGCTGACCTTTAATAACACAAGCAATATAAACGAGGCAAAAAGGAGAAGGTGGCATACTTGAGATAAGGCACTAATTAAAAGCTCATCGTTTCCTTTGGAATTAGCAGTGAGCCTCCTTCGGAAGGTTCTCATTAGCGTGCGTTTTATCTGTCCCTTCCAATATTTCAAATTCAATATTTAACGTTTGAAACAGAGCTCAGGAGCAACCGTACGCTTGGGTAAATATTAGCTCAAGTGTTACAAAGCAGCACCGTCCTGCCCTGAGCTGCACCCTGCAGCTGCTGCCAGTGCCTGGGGGGGCTGCAGGTGGGCACAGCACAGGAAGGTCACTCCTTGTCTGAGTGCTACAGAGCTGGCCAAGGAGGAGGAAGCAGAAAGGAGGTGAAAGGCAGAAGGAAAAGCAGAGGGAGGGGGTTGGGCAGGAAGGATTTGGCTCAGGATGGGGTCAAACTGCACAGGGAACAGCTGCAGGATGGGGAGAGAATGCAGCAAGCAGCAACACAACAGCGAAATGCTACGTGAAAATCCCAGTGCGACCACAGAGGAGCTGGTTTGTACCCTACACTGGGCTTCAGCACATCAAGGGAGCCCTTACCCCCACATCTCACAGGGGTGCAGGAGGATTTCAGCATTAATATCACGAGATAATAACACTGCAAAAATGGGGACATCTTCCGACAT